CGGTACCCCTCATTCCAGGATCGGGCTCAGCCGTGCACCATGTTTGGGGCTCTGCCGTACAGCGACGGGGGTGAGGGAAGGGGCACAAATTTTGCCTTTGCCTCCAGGCACATAACACCCGTGCTGCGCCTTTGCCCAGCAAAGGACACTTCTGGTCCTAGATGTGAATGAATCATTGATGGTATTTCCCAGAAGCAATGACCAGAGAACCCTGTCCAAAGTCACAGTTATATATGCACCTAACTCCGCAAAAGGCAGAAGCAGATCCTAATAGATGTGCTGCTACCTTCCAAATACAAGCATGGTTCCTATTCCTCGTTGGGGCTGCTTGATCCTCCAAAGGAGGAAAGGAAGCTGCCTTGAATACAAAATTATAAGATGGGTTGTCTGATGGCCTGTTGCTCTTGGCCTCCCTGTGCTGAGCATTAGGCCCTACAGAATCCTGGTGGGCAAGACAACACAGCAATGTCACATGTCTCAAAGGTGCTTCCTGCCCCCCCACACCTGGGCTCTCTGGCCATTGATGTCCTGGTAGTTTTGTCCTTTGTTTCCACAGACCAAGGAAGGGGAGTTTGGATTCTGTCAGAGAGCATCTGGGTACTTGTGGGAATCAGAAAGTGGGATGGAATTTTCATACCCAGACTTTCGGCAGAGAGAGGCCCAGGAGTAGGTGAAAGAATTTCTGCAAAACAGCCCCACTTCTCCATGTGCGAGTGCAGAAGGGTCTGTCTGCCTGCCCACCCTTGGCCCCTTGCTCTGTAACACTGTTTGCTTGCCTTGGAACATGTGTGTTTGACTTGCTGAGCAGGCCAACGTACACAGGCAAATCACACGGCCTCTGTCTGAGGCATCCCCTGCAGCCATCCCCTGGCCTGCCTGCTAAGCTTCTTTGCCCAGTTGCACCCATGTAAACCTGCCTGCCCCAGCCTTGGGACCCTTAAGCTGCAACACGGAGTTTTCTAGTTCCTGACTCCAGGCCTGCACAGCACACAGGCCTGGTGCTCAGTAGCTTGTGTGGTTCCCCGTGGTGTGTATGCAGCAGGGGCTGGGCTTTCTGCCCTTGCGCCAGTTGCCAACTTGTCATCTTTGCTGGATAGTGTGTGACTGAAATTGGAAAGAGAAGCAACCCCCAGGAATGATCAGTGCAGGGGGGCTCTAGTTGCTAATCGATACTGCTCAGAAACGGAATCGGCAGGCAGCCCCAGACCCTGTGTCCCTGAGAACCGCTGTGATGAAGAAACCTGGCAAACAGGGTGTTGTGTGCAACCGAGTCCAAAAGCTATGGCACTTCAGTTGTGTTTTGAATCTGCTCCTTGTAAAGCATTTGTCCCTTGAGTCTTACTTTGAATGTCCTCTTCTTACTACACAGCACCACACACCCCTGCTGCGCTGTGAACTCTACTGAGTCTGTTCCTGTCCTAGTGGTAGGTGTGTAGTCAGGTTTTGTGTGTGTTAGTAGGTAAGAATGAGACTCTAGTGGCTATGTCTTTTGAAAGCACACAAAGAGGAGGGTCTGGTCTGGGTTGCTGTGTGTGTATTCCAAACAGTTTTATGTGGTGGCTTTCTAAAAGGCATTTCAGGGATGGCCCCTGTGCTTTATTATTCCTATTTAATTTAGTACAGAAAAGTTACTAAGCACCAAAGGTTGGGAACAAGCGCAAGTGTGCAGTGAGGAGCCCAGAGCTAGAATTAGAGGTGCATGTTAGCCATGCAGGGGGCCAGCCTCCCTGTACATATATATATCTCCATGTAGTGCACTGTGCCCTGGGATTCAAGGGCATCCCAGACAAGGTAACAGCTTTGGTGGGAACTACGTCTGTTAATGAACAGGAATCGCACAGAACACACGTTCTAAGGAGCAGGTTGGTCCAACTAAAGCTAATTCCTCGCCTGCCTTGTCTCTGTGGGGCCGCCATCCACCGTGCGCAGTGACAGGCTCTGTAGCCAGCGGATGGAGCAGTTATAATTCACTGCAACACAAAAGCACGGGAATGCACCCAGCCTGCTCCTCCTGGCGCTGTAAGATGGCTCAGAGCCCTCAGCTAGGACCCGGGCTCGCTGCAGCCCAGCGGCCCTGGCTCCAGGAGACAGATGGGCCTGGCGCTCGTTTGCTGGGCGTTGCGCTCGCATCCAGGTCTCTGCTGCGCAGGCAGTTTCACCTCTACCGACCTGTGGGGCCAGGGTGCTTCAGAAACACGTGGCACTGGGCGCCCCTATTTAGCGGCTGCCGCTGTCCCCCACACCAGGCGCCGCGCAAACTAAGGACGGGCCCCTCTGTGCAGCCCCTCCTCCCCGTGTGACTCCAGGCTGGTTGCGGGGTCCGGGCCACAGCAGCGCTTCAGGGTGAAAGGCGCTATTTCAGGGTTACGGCCTGCCCGGGCCCGCTCCAGGGAGGCTCCTGTGGCCGAAGCCGGGAGGGAGCACTAGGCATAACGTCCGGGTGCCCCCCTCCGGGCGCTTTGCGCCCATCACGCCTGGCTCCAGCGTTCTCCTGAGCGCATGCTGCCCACCCGGCTCCCGAGCCTGTAGACAGGTATGGGGCCTCTCCGGGCTCGGCGGGACCCGGCCGTGGCGGCCCCTCTCCTGCGCTGTGTGCACGCCCCTCTCGGTCCCGCTGTGGGAGTCAGGAGAGGGGGCAAAGTGGGGAGAGAGCCCCAGCCGCTTCCCGCAGGTATGTTAGGAGGCTACGCCCTTGGACCGACCTGTCTCTTTAAGGCGCTGAAGGCGGTGGCCGCAGGTGGGAGTGCCGGCTGCCCAGGTAGGGCAGGCACAGAAGCAGCCAGAGATCGCGGCTCAGCAGGCGGCATAAAAGGAGCGAGTCCCGCTCCAACCTATCCTTCGCCGGGCCGGCGGGGTCACCTGCGCGGCCTGGACACCTAGCGCAGCTGCGCCCGTGCCTGTAAGCTCCAGTGGCTGCTCCCTGCCCAGCTGCCGCGCCCGGCCGATCCCACCGACGGGCACAAGTGCATAGGGATGGGGGCAGCAGCTCCCGCAGCCCTGGGCCTGGAGTCCCCCCCCTGCCGGCCTCGGGCGGCCAGGCCAGCGAGCCTCGCCCGCGCCCATCAGCAGTGAGAGCCCGCGCCCCGCCTGGACTGAGCCAGCCGCCGCGTCTCGGGAGCGAAGCTTGCGCGCGTGGGGACAGGACCGGCCGGGGATGACCGCGGAGAGCCAGCAGCCCACGTGCGGGGCCAGCCCCGCGGAGCCCGGCCGCCTGCTCATGCCCCTGGCCAAGGCGGAGCCGGGGCCGCCAGAGGCTGGGCTGCGGGGCGCGGGTCGGCGGCGCAAGCGGCCGGTACAGCGGGGCAAGCCGCCCTACAGCTACATCGCCCTCATCGCTATGGCCATCGCGCACGCCCCGGAGCGGCGCCTCACCCTGGGCGGCATCTACCGCTTCATCACCGAGCGCTTCCCCTTCTACCGCGACGGGCCGCGCAAGTGGCAGAACAGCATCCGCCACAACCTCACCCTCAACGACTGCTTCGTCAAGGTGCCGCGGGAGCCGGGCCGCCCGGGCAAGGGCAACTACTGGGCGCTGGACCCTGCGGCCCGCGACATGTTCGAGAGCGGCAGCTTCCTGCGCCGGAGAAAGCGCTTCAAGCGCAGCGACCTCTCCACGTACCCGGGCCCCGCGCCCGACGGCGCCTTCGGGCTACCAGCGCCCGGCTACCCCGCGCCGCCGTCCGCCCCGCGCCGCCCGCTCAGCCCCTCCGCCAGCTCCTGCGCCTTCGGGGGCGCCGCCTACCCCAGCCCGGGCTGCGCTGGGGCCGCCGTCTCCTACCCGTACCCGGGCCCCGGCGCGCCCCTGCCGCTCACCCCGGGGCCCTACGCGCAGGGCAGCAGCCAGCTGTACCCGCCCGGTCGCCTGGCCCTGTCCGCCTCACCCCCGCTGAGCGGCGACAGCCGGGACTTCTACGGCCGCATGTCTCCCGGCTCCTGCCCCTCGCTGGCCCACGGCTACAGCCCCGGCGCTTACCTGCGCCATGCGCCCTACCCCGGCGCCGTGGAGAGGTTCGTCCCAGCCATGTGAAGCGGGACGGCCGGCTGGCGTGAGCAGCTGCGTCCCGCAGGGAGCCGGGCCTCGGTGCGGGAGGGGGGCTCTCGCTAAGCGCTGCGCCGAGCTGCGGTGGCAGAGCCTGGGGGCGGCCTTGGGGAAGGAGGGGGGCACTGAGACCCACGTGTTGCTGAAAATCTCCGGCCGTGGCCCAGGACAAGGAGAGTAGTCAGCGGTGAGCCCCCGGAACTGTGCGTCTGAACTTGTCCCTCGTGGAGAACCCGGGCGCGATTCGGTTCCCCATGTAGCCTGCCTCTCCTCTCCCGCCCCTGTGAGGTGCAGAGGAGTCTAGAAACCTGAGGCGATTCCCCAGCTCTGCCTGCAGACCCCGTTCTGCATGAACCATAAAGGCTTTGGGCCCCAAAGACAGGAGAGGAAAGGGGGTGTCTCAGCAGTTCTGTTCTTGGCCTTGGAAGTGTGACAGCATTGCAATAAATGGCTCTTCCCACAGTGACTCCTGGGGCTTCCTCTTTGCTGATGTCCAGTTGTCCTCACTGCTCACACAGGCAGCTGCAACTTCCCTGTGCTACTTTGTGGGCTGCTCCCTCCTTAGTCTTGTTTGCCAGGGGTCAGCCTCTGCTTGTCCATGCGGTCTCCTGAGCAGCCTAGTGGTCTGAGCGGGATAAGGTGTTTCATCCCCTGAGCTAGCTTGCCCCACATTGCCTTGAAGGGTTGCCCTGGCCACAAACTGTTTTTTTTTTCCTTCTCTCCAGTCTGTTTAGTGATTGCCACAAACATTAGCTGGAAACCAGGGCCAGAGCCCAAGCCCGCTGCAGTCAGAGCCAGGCGTTATAACTCGGTTTGCTGTTTGGTTGAGAGGGCTCAGCCTTCCACAAGGCGCTCTGCAGAGAGAGCTTTACAGGGCACACGGCCAGACCCTGTCCCCAAAGCCTTCTGTGTCTAAGGGTCTGCTCACATAAGGCAGTTCCACTGTCTAATCATTAAAATGATGTCATTATGAAGGTGTCACCCCAAGAGAGTGGCTTAGTAAAGCATAAAAGTGTATTTTCAGTTTTGTTTGTTGGGTGGAAAGGGGCCTAGCAAAACCACTCATGCCTGTTTGTGTCCAGCGCGCCCTGGTATCACTCACTTTTCCTTCAGGGATAGTGGAAGGAAACTGAGGTACAGAGCAGGAAATGACTTCACATGGTCTCTTAGCTGGCTGGGTCACAATCAGGGTTAGATTGTGGTACGTGGCCTGATGGCCGGGATGCCTCTTTGCCTCCCTATTTTTCCTGTTCCTTCAGTCCCCAGCCCTCTCTGGTCAACTGGGCTTTTGGGGGGCTTCTCCACGAATTGTCCCTAGCATCTAGCACCAGTCAGACTTCTTCTTGGGTTTGCCATGTCTGGGGCAGCCACGCGCTGGTTTAAAATGAAGGCTATCATTTATGAACTCTACAGGCCTGGGTCTGTGAGAGCTGGTAGCAAGTCACCTTCTAGTCCTGTGGTGTCCAATCAGTTCTGAAGCAAACTAGCCACACTCGACCGGCCAAATAGCCACATGTGGCTAGTGACTAGCGTGTGGGACACCACAGCTGTAGGCTAAAGTGCTTGTTGTCTATGGGCCTGCTCGTGATCCTAGTTGCACAGCTGAGTTATCCCATAGTTATCAAAGCAAACCCGACCATGTGTAATGCAGCCACACAGAACTTAGCTTGCAAACGCAGGTCCTGCTGCCATCACGGATCACATGCTTTGAATGTGCAGGTAAGGCTGGGGGCATTGCAGAAAAAGTGGTTTGAAATTCTGGTACGATGGATCCCAGGAAAAAGGAGGGAGGGAGAGGTTCTTTCATGGCTCAATCCAGCTGGCAGCTTGAGAGAACCTCACTGGTCCCAGGGTGGGCTTGTCCCCACGGGAAAATTCTGCACTTTACTTCATGCTGATATTTGGGCTCAGGAAATGTCACCAGTACAAGGCAGGGTGTGACTGCATCTGGGGAAAGGGCACCGCAAGCCAATATTGCTACAAGGCCTGTGGCATAGGGTAGCCGGAAAGGTTTAAAACCATGCGGAGCTCAGCAGCTAGGGGTGGCTATGCAGAGGTCTTTGTTTTTACTTAGAATAGGCACGCTTAGCCACTAATTGGCAGGGTTTTTATAGCCCTTGCTCAGGGAAAACTCCTGTTAAAATCCAGGGATTACTAGCTAGAGAGCAGGGCAAACATTTTGTACAAACCTGTTCGGGAAGGGAGGGGGTGAGGTTGGGCCACATGGCAGTGTTCTGTGAAGTTGTGTCATTTCTGCCAAATCATCTTGGTCAAAAACAACCTATAACAACATTGGGGGAAAAAATGAAAATGTTTCTGTCTGATATTTTTGGATGGTATTTCAGTTTTGGGGTTCAGAAAGACTTGACTTAAAATGTCTTTTATTTTAAAAAGCCAAAACCCATTTGGAATGCTCAAAATTGAACCAGAACATTTTGTTGGGGGTTAAAAAAAAATGTCATTTGGCCTGAACTGAGCTTTTCATTCTAATGGGACTCTTCTAGCCATTCATAATAATCTCAGTGGGAGTTTCTCTTGCTCGGCAGCCCTTTGGGCCCAATCCTGATCCACTCCAATCAGTGGTATGATTACCACTGACATCAGGGTGGAGTAGACTGGGCTGTAGGTGAATCCTGTTGGCTTCCGGCAAGTTGTAATTGGGTACCAATCTGAATGAAACGAGGTCTGAATCCTACCGTCAATTATGCTGTGGGCTGCAGGCATGTAAGGAAGGGGAAGAATTCAGCCAAGAAGATTTACGAGGCTGAGTCAACTGTTCCTGTAGGCCAGGCTCAGAATGAATGGACCCCATCATCTCTCTTGGCATTGCCTTGCATGACAACAGTGTCCTTCCAGGAGCCTACTAGTCCCACCCCTCTGCTCACTTTGGGATTGAATAGTAATTCCATCAATGCTGAGAGAGAATAATCATTTCTTGTGAGGCTGCAAGCCAGGAAAGCCTTGTCCATGTGGAACCCAGGGCGTTCCGTTCCTTCAACTCGGATTCTAGTCACAAAATAACGAGTTAAATTACTGAGCTGTTCTAAAATACTGCAGTGTCATCACCAGCAAGAGGCTGTCTGTCCCTGACTGGCCCTTTGCTCTTTTTGCATTGGATTGTTGGAAACATTTGAAAGGATTAGGGCATTTAGTCTGTTTCTGAATGTATCAGGCCCCACTGCCCTGTGTGTCTGTTGCCTTAGTTCTGCATTAAGAGACCCGAGGCCCTGGGCATGTGACTCGAGTGGAGTCACCTGTTCTGTGCACATTGTCCCCAGCTAAGCATCTGCTCCAAGGCCATTAGAACCTGTAGTTTGGTTCTTTCTAGCCAGTTTATAGTGTAAGTCTTCGGGGCTATAAAATGAAGGGTTGGGAACAGCAGCATCCAACCAGCTGTGGGCTCCTGCTGGCCCTGTTAGGGTGACCAGATCTTCCATTTTTAAAGGAACAGTCCCCTATTTAACTCTCCTGCAGGTGTTCCAAAACTTTTCTTAAAAACAGGCACATTCTCTGTCTTCTGCCCATTGATCCTGGGTCCTGTTGCTGGCCAGGTCTCTGCTCGCCAGCTGCCCGCCCACCAGAGGTGAGGGGAGAGCATCCAGTGGCTGCGGATAGGGGTGGATGTGCAAAGTGGATAGTTAGGTGAAGAAGCAGCATATGAGGCCGACCACTCCCCCGGTGGCGGGGCCAGCACCGTGTGCCTCCCCGCCCCCCACCCCACCTGCTAGCTCACAGCCAGCATGTCCCACCCCCCTGCCCATTTCCTGCTGGCACCAGGGAGCAACCAGTTATGTAGTCTCTGCTGCCCACCCATTGGCCTTTTACATGCTCCCACCTCACTGTCCTCTCTAAGGATGTTAAATTGCAGTTATCTGGATAATCGTGGAGTTGATACAAATTGTATTGGCTAGACGATTAGTCGATACGGACCACTCTACAGAGCCACTGCAGGGGTAGCTCCTGGAGCCGGCTTGAGCTGGAACTGAGCTGTCCCAGCTTCTGCTGGCTCTGGGAGCCACCCATGCTATGGCTCTACATTTTTTAATGCACCATCAGCACCGTCTCCTGTCCCCCCTCCCTGCTGCCTCTCCCTACACCAGCAGTAAGGGGGGGCGGCAAGTAGTTGAGTACTCCACTCGACCACCTAATAAGCTTATGCTTATACTCTCCAACAGCCCTAGTCCTCTCCCTGCTTGGCTCCTTCTCCCTCCCCCCCCCCCAGCTGCTCCCTGTCCCCCCAGTGGAGTGTGTCCCTCTCTCAGCAGTACGAGCAGAGCCAGGCCCTAGTGAGAGAGCTCAGTTCACCAGCAGCCTGGCCAGCAGGCTCCTTCCTTCCCTCATTGCCTCTGGCTGGGCAGGCACCCCTGGGAAGCCAAAGACCCTCCGGAGCACTGGCCAGGAGGAGCTAACCCCTGCATGTGCCAAAACCCTGGACAATGGTGGCACAGGGAAGCCCCTCAGCTAAGCTGTGGAGTGGGGGGGGGATTCCCTGCCTGTTCACATCCTGAACCTATAGGCTCCAAAGAAGCCCAGCACTAGCCTCCCCTCTCCCTGCTGCCGTGGGCCCTGCTCCAGGTAATCCGAGGCTGCTGTGTCCCCTAGGGACCCTCCCCTGCAGAGCCACCTCTGGCTAGGTTCGCTGAAGCCCCTGTAGTCGAGTTCCCTGGGCCCTGGTGCACAATGCATCCCTTAAGACTTACCTCCTTCCTACCCACACTGCAGCTAGGGCGCTCGGTTGTATTTGTAGTCAGCAGCAGCCTGGAGGTATTAGCTGCCTTTCCATACTGTGCTGGTAGGAAGGGGCACGCTGCTTCCAGTCACATGGCGGTGGGAGGGGGGGAGACGAGCTCTTCAAAGACATGGGCCATGTCAGCCCTTCCTCCCACTTCTCTTCCAGCAGCTGGAAGCAACCCCCAGCCATAGTGCCAAAAGACTGCTGCTGTCTACATTGTGGTGTGAACCCTGGCAGAAATGTGGGGACTGAGTGCCCCCATGTGTTGCCTCAGTAGAAAAACGTCTCTGGGTACATCACACTGTTATGAAAACCAGCGGCACCGAGACACAAAGCCCTGCTCTGCTGACTCAGTCTTGTGGGACTCTGGCAGGGCTATACATCTCCAGTGTGGACATTTGGGGTCTAGCTGAAGCCCAGTCTCTGAAGCTTGCCCCTCTTATGGGGTCTCTGAGCCCATGTTGAAGCTGGTGCCCAAACATCCATACTGCAGTTTTATGGCCCAGCAGCCTGAGATGTACGAGCTTCGGTCAGGTGCCTTGCACCATCTGCAGCTGTGCTGTCAGCGTAGCCACACCCTCGGCCCCGCATGTGGGTAGGCATGCCGGTGCCAGTGCCGGTGCCAGTGCCTTAGTGACTTCCAACAGTTGAGATGACGGTGAAACATTTGTGTGTTTGCAGGAGCAGGTGCGACATTCTCAGAACAGTTCTTATTTTCCTTGAGACTGTTGGGAATACAAGCTAGAAGAAATCAGGATGTCCTAGAAAGTCTCCATTCAATGTCAGGCCCACCAAATAATCCTGAATGTGCATAACAGCTATTTGATTTAAATGAGTTGTTCAGTGCCTCATCCTCAGGCTAGTATTGGGGTTATGATTTTGCCATGAATATTAAAAGTCATGGACAGGTCACAGCCAGTGGTAAAAAATTCATGGACCATTTGTCCACAAATTTGTCATTTGTCCCTGGCAAATGGGGAGGGAGCTGCGGGTGGTGCCTGCTGCCATGGGGGTTGGGCTGCTTGTGGGGTCCCAGTGTCACAGAGATTGTGGAAAGTCACGGAATCTGTGACTTCTACAACTCGATAACATACTTGTAGCTTTGCTAGTAAGGCAGCAGCAACTTTGTAGGAGGCAGCTAAAAAGATAGCTCTGTTCTATCTTGGATGATTTGGCTCTACGCTTGCACGCCCTGCGTATTCGGCTTGCATGCCTCTTCAGTCTTCCATGCAGAAATGCAGTTGATCAACCCATCTCAACACGTCAATAATGTTCCCATACAGCTATCGTCTCTTGATCTTATTTGCATGTGTGAAGTTTTAGTAGATGCGTGATTTCAGAATGCAAGCCTCAAAGAACTGTGTTAAACATCTATAGTGCACTTAATCTAATCAACTGATCTAATCAGAATGTACAACCACAAAATGTCTCAATAATAATTATTGAATTAAGTCATGCAAAGAGAGATGTTTTTTCTCTACTCACATAATGGGAAGGCCCCAGTAAAACCTGGAGTATTCAGTCACATATCTGCATGCCTTTTTAGTGACGTTCCACAAAATGGCATCTTTCGTACGCTTTTGGGGGCAAGAGGGAATCGTCCATGGGGTTGAATCTGTTTTAATTCTGGACCATGCAGTGCACGTGTGGGGTACATCAGTGGCCTGCCCCTGCCCATTTTAGACACATTAGCATGAAAGAATTATGGCAGAGTAGCAGCTAGAGGCCTGATTCAGGGCAGGTACCTGCTGTGTTACGTTCTGTACAGATATGTGCAGTGACGTGGTTCCTGCCCGAAAGGTCTTACAATCAACCCCAGTAGTGTCTGTGGATTAAGCCAGGGCTCTCACAGGGGTTGATTCTAAGGGTTACATTACAAAAGAATTGTTGCCTACATGGAAGCGGCCAATATTCTATCCTGCAGGCCCCATGACAGGTGCCCAGTGCTAAGGCCCAGGGGAGTTGGAGCCTGCATCCTTTGATCTCTCCGGCAAAGCTCCCACTGACTGCAGAGGGCAGGCTCAGGCCCATGTTGGAGGAAATGAGGCAGACCCTTGAACTCCAGCATTAATTACATTTTAGTGCAAATGAATAGTAACAGAAGTTAAAAAGCCATCACCTCCCCCCCGCTCTGCCACAGTACTGGCATGCTAGCTCCCCAGAACACAGAGCAGAATTGCTAGAGAACCTGGCCTCAGCCCAGCAGGGACTCATGACTCTGTGCAAGGGAGAAGAGTTTAGCTTTTCCCAGGGGAGATCTGCCTGGGCCAGCAATTACACAGATGTAATGACAAGACACACAAAGTCGACACTTTTTTTCCACTTAATAACAAACTGGCTGCAATTAGTACAAACAACATTCCTTAGCCCCTCCACAAGACTGCAGGATGGATGAGTCGTGCACTTGAACAAAAACGCTTTGTAGCAAATGCACTTTAGAGTAATTGAAGTAATTATCCCGAAAGTGAGAAAACACAACTCTGGGAATGACATTATGATGTACCACCCAGCAAGGTGCTGGCCGCTGGCCACCTGTCCAGCCATACACTCATGTGGTAGAAAGGAAGGAAGGTCTTGGGCTCTGCACTGGGATTCAGTCCCTAGTTCTACCACAGACTATTTATGTAACCTTGGATAGGTTTGTGACTCTGGCAGGCCCAGTGCCAAATCATGCCAAAGTGCTTCTGTCTCAAGTGGGCTCTGACAAATGCAGAGCTAATGCAACAGCAATAGACAAGTTGTCAGTGGGCAGAGTCTTACCTGGCGCTTCTGAAGCTAAATCCATGACCCTCAACTGCGTGAGCTAAAAGCCACAGCCCTTAGGAAAGGCTGTAGAGCAGATTCATTAACCCCTGGTCTCATTGCCACTAGATGGGACAGAGCACTACACCCAGGAGGTGTGTGGATTACACAGGAATCTGCCTGGCTAACTTGCAGGTTCATGTTGATAGACTAGGTATTATAAAGGGTTTCATGTTTACACTCCATTGAGCATTTGGAGTTGCTACGTGAATTATTCTTACTAGTAATTCCTATATCCCATGTGGTAATGTAACATGTGAGTGGGTGTAGTGTGAACCTTTGTGATGGTCTGAATTCCCGTGCAGGAGAGTGACATTAATGAGAGCAAAGAGTGCTCTTCTGCAGAAATTGTTACATCCCTCCCGAAAGAGAAGACCCATTGATACCTGACAGGCCACGGGTAGGCTCATAAATGGTAACTCCCTACGTCTGGAGTGAGCATCCATCAGTAAAAGGACTAAAGACTCTTATTGCTGTTCCACTCTCCTCCCCAAACATGAATCATACACATAGACCCATCTCATCAATTGAGTTTGAGAAAAAGGGGGATAAAACCCTAACCAAAGGAATTAAGGATTCCTATATTTCTGTGCTTCTGGGAGGGATGCAAGGTGTTTCTAGGCATAAGCAAGAGATCCCTAGCTATTTAGCTTAAGTTAGCAGTAAGGGTCGAATACAGCTTGCTGATGTGCCAGAAACTTCTATTACCTTTTGAAATACAAGACTGTAACTCACTCATGTGTTTCTGCTTCCTTGCTTTAACTTTGTAAATAACTCTTTAATTTCTTTTGTCTATTTAATAAACCTTTATATTGTTTATTCTAGGGCTGGCTACAAGCAACTGTCCTGTGGTAAGTGACTGGGCCTTTGGGATTAGAAATGACTTCAACGTTGCTGTGATTCTAGATGTCAGGGACTATCTGTAGCAGGGATATGCTCATTTGGGTGGCAAATGGCAAGACAAACTGGAGCAACCCCTGGGACTGTCTGTGACTCTGTGTAAGGCTGTTAAAATGCCTAACGAGTTTGCACATGGTACAGTTGGTTGTTCAGTCAGATAATTCTGTTCTTTACTATAGTGTCAACAAATTTGCCTGGTACTGGAGTCAGGCTTACTGGCCAGTAATTACCAGGATCACTTCTGAAGTATTTTAAAATTGGTATTCAACTGGCTAGCCTCCAGTCATCTGGTACAGAGGCTGATGTAAGCAATAGGTTACATAAAGCAGTTGTTAGTTCTGAAATTTCATATCTGAGGTCCTTCAGAGCGAATACTGTCTGGTGCTGGTAACTTATTACTCTTTAATGTATCGGTTCCAACATCTCCTCTGTTGACACCTGAATGTGGGCCTTCACATTTGTCATTTAAAAAGAATGGCTTGGGTATTGGAATCTCCCTCAAATCTTCTGCAGTGAAGACTTCTGCAGTGATGCCAAGAATTTATTTAGCTTCTCTACAGTGTCCTTGTCTTCCTTGAGTGCTCCCTTAGTGTCCTGTCTGTTCAGTGGCCCACTGATTGCTTGACAGGCTTCCTGTTTCTGATGTTCTTTTAAAAATTGCTGTTAGTTTTTGTGTCCTTTGCTAATTGTTCTTCACATTCTTTCTTGGCTTGTCTAATTATACTTTACACTGGACTTTCCAGAGTTTATACTCCTTTATATTTTCCTCAGTAGGATTTTATCTCCAATTTTTAAAGGATGCCTTTTGGCCTCTAACCACTTCTTTTACTTTGTTGTGTAGCCACAGTGGCACTTTTGGGGGCCTCTTACTGTGTGTTTTAATGTGGGGTATACATTTAATTTGAGCCCGTATTGTGTGTTAAGTGTTTTCATGGAGCTTGCAGACATCTCTCTTTTTGAACTGCACTTTTTAATTTCCCTTTATATTACATGTGTGGGGGTCAAACGGCTGGGATCTGCCCCACAGCACGTGGGGACAGTTTAGTTGAAAGGTGCAGCGGGACTCTTACTATGTTGAGGGTACATGCAAACAAAAGGGCAGGTGACTGGGATGAAATGCTGCCTCGCTGTTATTTGCTTATGAGGTGGCTCCTGAGTCCACCGCATTTGTCCCCCGTATGGCGAGAAAGGTCACCTGGAAGAGTGAATGTGTACAGAGGTTTGGTAAGGATTTACAGCCTAGGATGAAGGAGGTTCAGATTAAGCTCACTGAAGGCCGTATGGGCAGCTGTATAGGCAGCATGGTATTGTGCTGTCCCAGGCCCAAGGAGGCCCCAAATAGTGGCTGCATCCTGTTCTCCACCCAGTAAGCTGCTGAGCTGAGGAGCTAGTAGGACTGTAACCTCAGCCAAGAAAACACCCACAGAAGCCCTGACAGGAGGCTCACCCAGCTCCACCCATTGGTCCAAGCTAATTAAGCCAGAAGGAGGCAAAGGTAGTTTGTCTGAGCAACAGGGTGGTTTCTGCTGTGCCTCTTGCACCCAACTCTGTTCCTGCTTCACTCTGGGTTCCTGCCTCACCCCTGCCTTCGCTTCAGTTCCCACCATGCACCGGCTCTGAGCTTGGTTCTTGCCTCGCCTCCAGCCATGCATTGCCAGTCCTGGCTCCAAATCCAGCCTCTGACTCTGGCTTGACCCCTGGCTCTGGTAACTGGCAGCTGATTCTGGTGCTGGCCGTTGGTTTCATTTCTCAGCCTAGATGCCTGTTCCGACCACTGGCCTGTCAGCCCCCCATACTCTGGTCCATAACGGGTACAGTTACAACGCTTGTGTTGCCTGGTCTGTTGGTTAAGGTATTAATTTGATTTCCCCAATTAACACCCTGTAACTTAGTAACTTCTTGTCCCAAGATCAAGCCCAGTGTTATCAGAGTTACTGTTCTGGCAGCCCCATGGGCCATACCCACAATCCGTCTTTTTTTCCCCTTCATGCAGCTGATGTAGTGAGTTGCAGCTCACAGAAGCTTATGCCGTAATGAAATGGTTAGTCTTTAAGGTGCCACTGGACTCGTGCTGGCTTTGCTGGTCCTTTCAGATGTGCTCTGCCAATGTGTACGTGTTCACCTGATTCCAGGGCTGGGAGAACCCAGCTCTGGGGAACCTATGCCTTGCGGGGTAGCTCCATTGGGCGGGACTGCTAACAGGGAGTTTGGAGAGGGAGTTCTCCTGGTGAAGGAGGAAGCTAATACAGGACCCTTGAGGGAAGTGGCTGTCTGTAGTGTGTGTTTGTGTTTAGGGGTTTCTTGCTGTTGCTGAGCTTGTGTTTGGCTGTTTGGTGTTTTTTTTTTCTTTTTTCCTTTTCCCCTTCCCCCTCTCTCCCTTCCAAGTGTGTGTTGTGGCTAGCAGGTGGAAGCTGTGAGCTTCTAATTAGGGTTTGAAATCTAGAAGCCTCTGCTCATTGGTTGAGCTTTAATCAGGGGAAGGAGCTATCAGGGGGTATGTCTACACTGCCACCCTAGTTCGAACTAGGGTGGCTAATATAGGCATTCGAAGTTGCAAATGAAGCCCGGGATTTAAATATCCCGGGCTTCATTTGCATCTTGCCGGGCGCCGCCATTTTTAAATCCCCGTTAGTGCGGACTCCGTGCCCGCGGCTACACGCGGCACGGAGTAGGTAGTTCGAATTAGGCTCTCTAATTTGAACTACCGGTACACCTCGTTCCATGAGGAGTAACAGTAGTTCGAATTAGAGAGTCTAATTTGAACTACCTACTCCGTGCCGCCTGTAGCTGCGGGCACGGAGTCCACACTAACGGGGATTTAAAAATGGTGGCGCCAGGCAAGATGCAAATGAAGCCCAGATATTTAAATCCCGGGCTTCATTTGCAACTTCGAATGCCTACTTTAGCCACCCTAATTCGAACTAGGGTGGCAGAGTAGGCATACCCCGGCAGTCTAGGCTTTAAAAAGAAGTGAGTCAGCGACCAGGGAGCTTGTGAACAGGGACTGCTAACAGGGAGTTTGGAGAGGGAGTTAGGAAGGGGAGTCAGAAGGGAGCGAGATATACTTGCCATTCTTTAAAATCTTTTGGCTACACTCCAGCCCTACAAAGAGGCATTGAATAACATCTGAGGAGTCTCTAAGAAGGAAGGCAGGTATGGATAGTGATAGGTCTGATGTTGTACCTGCACAGCATGTGCCATGTTTGTCTTCCTCCCAGAAGAAAGAAGGGATTGTTGCCATTTTGGAAGAAAAAATTAGGGGACTTGAGGCCCAAGTATTGACCCTATGTTCCATCAGAGAGGATGAAGACTTCCTCAATAGAAGGCAGCATTTAATCCTGCAGGCACAGCAGGCTGAAGAGCCAGTCAGGGCAGTACAGGACAAGGAAGAAAACTGGCAGCATGTAACCTCTAGAAGAAGAAGGCCAACCCAGGTTTCACCCATTCCTGTAGAGGTAAGTAACCGCTTTCAGGCTCTCTCCACAGGCACTGTGGTGGAGAATGCTGTGGCAGGGACCTCTCAGGGAAGAAATCAGAAGGGAACACCATCTACCAAAAGGCATGGGATGCGTAGTCCTAGAGATGAGGGTTCCATGACCACCACCCCCAAAAGAAGAAGACGGATGGTGGTGGTCGGGAACTCCCTCCTAAGAGGGACTGAGTCATCTATCTGCTGTCCAGATCTGCAATCTCGAGAAGTGTGCCGCTTACCGGGAGCTCGCATTCAGGATGTGACCGAGAGTCTTCCAAAAGTGATTAAACCTTTGGATCCCTATCCCTTCCTGCTTCTCCATGTAGGAACTAACGATACGGCCAAGAATGACCTTGAGCAGGTCACAGCAGATTATGTAGCGCTGGGAAGAAGGATCAAGGAATTTGAAGCGCAAGTGGTGTTCTCATCCATCCTTCCGGTTGAAGGAAAAGGTCCGGATAGGGATTGTCTAATTGAGGAAGTAAATGCGTGGTTGTGCAGGTGGTGTTGGAGAGAGGGCTTTGGTTTCTTTGACCATGGGACTCTATTCCAGGCACAGGGATTGTTAGGAAGAGATGGGATCCACCTAATGATGAGAGGAAAGAGCATCTTCATAGGCAGGCTTGCAAACCTAGTGAGGAGGGCTTTAAACTAGGTTCGCTGGGGGATGGTGACCACAAAGTCCTGAGGTAAGTGAGGAAGTTGGATACGGGGAAGAAACACAAGGAGGAATGAGCAACAAAGGAAGACCCCTGATTCGGATGAAGAAGGCAGGGCGATCAGCTGGCTATCTAAGGTGTTTGTACACAAATGCAAGAAGCCTGGGAAACAAACAGGAAGAATTAGAAGCTCTGGCCCAGTCGAAGAATTATGATTTGATTGGAATAACGGAGACTTGGTGGGATGACTCGCATGAGTGGAGCACTGTCATGGAAGGGTATAAACTGTTCAGGAAGAACAGGCAGGGGAGAAAAGGAGGAGGAGTTGCATTGTATGTAAGAGAGTAATATGATTGCTCGGAGCTCTAGTATTTAGAGGGCGAAAAGACTGTTGAGAGACTATAGGTTAAGTTTAGAGGTGGAAGAAACAGGGGTGATGATGTGGTTGGTGTCTGCTATAGACCGCCAGATCAGGTGGATGAGGTAGACGTGGCTTTCTTCGGGCAACTGAGAGAAGTTTCCAGATCACAGGCTCTGGTTCTCATGGGGGACTTTAATCATCCTGACATCTGTTGGGAGTCCAATACAGCAGCACACAGACAATCCAGGAAGTTTTTAGAGAATGTTGGGGATAACTTCTTGGTACAAGTGCTGAAGGAACCGACTAGGGGCCATGCGCAGCTTGACCTTCTGCTCACAAACAGGGAGGAACTAGTAGGGGAAGTAGAGGTGGGTGACAACCTGGGAAGCAGTGATCATGAGATGGTAGATTTCAGGATCCTGACCAAAGGAAGAAAAGAGAGTAGTAAAATACACACCT